TTATTATTTCTCTTTATAGTAAAATAAAAATATAATGGCTAGAAACATGGCTTGTTTTCTGTTTGCTATTTTATTTATTGGAAGCGAGTTTACAAAGATCCAGTTAAGGCTTTTGAGTAGTTTATTCTGAAAAAAATTGCTTTGATTAGGTAGCATTAATGTCACCATGGTGGTCTTCCACTCAAAATCTTTATTTATCACACTGATGGATTACTACTTTATGTTGTAAATAACCCAAAGATTGTTTGATCCCGCAGCAGTGCAATAGATATAAACTTATTTGCTCCTCTTTTAGTACACAGAGAAAAGAATATAAAGAATTTCTCAAGCAAACCTGTACAAGCAAAATGGTTGCCATTCTCTCTGAGTATTCTGCTCAGTTTCTTATGCAGACATAGGAGGGCAAATTCTGTTCTCTCCTGGAAATAACCCCAATTCCTGTCCCTGGCTACTTTCCGGAGCAGCTCAAGTGTGCAGGCAAGCTTGGTGTTTGCTCTTGCACCTTGGATCTATTTGCCCATTTTTTTTTTTTGACCATTCAGGAGCCTGACTGCTTTGCTTAAACAGGCACTTGAACAACTGAGCTAATGGGCAGGCCCCCATCTTTTGTCATTTCTTTAACTTCATTTTGACATTCTCCTTTTGGAAATTGTAACAGGTGAATTTTATGTCTCATTCATTGAACTGAAAATTTCTGTTAGATCCTCTTAGGCACAGAGAACCAGTGTAAAATTCACATTTTAATGTGGTGGAAAAAAGATATATCATAATCCAATGAAGGAATGATTTCACATCATAAGAACAGGCTTGAAAGAGATAAAACAGGAAGGGAGATTAATATGGGCCTATTATGGGCGCAGCTCTACTTAAGATCAGAGGGATCCATCTGGCCACGTTATAAGATTAGGTAGAAAGAAAACATGTTGTAGCAGAGGCAGCAGCAAGCACAAATTGTGCCCCTGACAACTCTCACAGGGGAAGCAAGGTCATGAACCACTTGCAATGGGTGGCAATATTGCTGCAATTGAATTACAAGCACAAGATGCACTTTCACACAAGTGCCCGTGATAGCAATCTATGATTTAACTCTATGAGTTATACGGAGGATTGAAAGCTTGAAGAAGTGGCTTGATCTTCCTCATAGTCATTGTTTTTTCACTCTGATTTGGGAAGTGCCTGATTTTTTAAGACTTTTCACTCTTATAGACTATTTAAACCTAGTTCTATTTTTGAGGTTTTCCTCACCTCTGATAGATTTCAGTTCTATGTTTTATTTCTACTTGTAATTTATGAATATATTTTCAGACCTTTAAAGGATACTGATTAATATTTTTAACACATTTTCTTCTTTCATTTCCTGTTTTATTGTGCTCAGTTAATTTCTTGATCCATTTGGTTGTGCTTTGTTTTGTTTCATTTATATTCAGTAAAGAGGGTCTCCATCAAGTTGATTTCTAATGTTGTGTGTCTAGCCACACATTTCACTGAGGAATTATGCCATGAATGAAGGCTCAAATTATCAGACTTAAAATATAAATAGACAGCATTTCCATGATGTGTGTGCTTAAAATAATCATTTTGTTTGGGTTCATTTTTTCTTCTCACAAACAGGTACGACAATGTTATCTGTGTCACAGGTATGAAGTGTGGCAATGATGGTATTTATGTCATGGGTACAAAGTGTGGCAAACCTATGCATGTGTGCTACGGACGGCTGTTCGTTCTCATTTAAAGCTGGAAAAGGGACGCTGCCACTGCTTGACCTAAGTCAGGACCAGCTATGTCCTCGCAGACGACCTCCTGCTTCTCGCCCCTTCATCCCTCCTCCCACCATGATAGCTCCCCATGTGCATCCTGCTTTATACCCGACCACCCCACATCACCAAGTTGTCCCTCATTTCCCAAACACACTATTACTCTCCCTGAAAGGGTGGGATTCTTTTGTTACAATTCTGTGATTGAATCCTTTTTTACATTTTTATTTTTATTAATACAAGTTTATCAGTACCTAAGGTTTCTAAGCACTGTGGTGGGCTGATAAATCTCTACATCCCTCAGAGTTCTTTCTATGTCCCCTTCTTTCTGCACCTGGCCCTTCTCTCCAACTCTTGGCTCCCTTTCCACTTGCAAAAGATCAGTCTCCCTGTTTCCTATTCTGTATTTTTTTTTAATTTCTTTGGTAAATTTACTCTTTGGATTTGTCATTAATAGAAACCATACTGCCTTTAGGACTATGTGTCTTATTTATTTTACTTAACATTATTTTCTCAAGGTGCATTTAAATTTCTACAATTGACCCAAATACATCCTTTCTTTCTTTTTTTTTTCTCTTGTCCAGCTCAGCCTGCCCTGATGGTGCCAGGGATCGAACCGTGGTCCCCTGCACCTGCCTAAGCTTCCCTAAGCAGGTGTTTTAGACCACTGAGCTAGCTCGTCAGCCCTACATCCTTTCTTATGGTGATGTATTACTCAACAAATATTGGTATGGAGATTCCTCCAAAAAATACAAATAGGAATCCCCTTGCCCCAGCTGTTCTCATTTTATGTTTTCTTCCCAAAATGTTAAAGACACCATATTGCAGTGATTGATACACAACCATATTCATAGCATAAAAATTCATAAAGGCTAAGTCTTAGAAGTTGTCTGTATATCTATGAGGAAATAAGAAAATGCTTGGATAAATGATTAATAAGAGGACATGATTTCAAGAGTCTGAAAGCTACTCTGCGCTGTCAAAGTCCTTGGTATAGAACTCTATCAAAAATTTACATTATTTTTGTAATTCACATGGTCTTCCATGTTTAAGTCTGGGGATTTTAATAAAAGAATTTGCTTTGCTCATCTGCAACAAGTATAACACTTAGAAGAGAAGGTGAGATGCTTTTGGACAAAGGACCAACAATGTACATCTTTTATGAATCATGTAGGCACCATTGCATTGCTCTATTTTCTAAAAGAATTAAGGGGATGCATGTAGAAGGATGTCATTCATTTCACCTGATGTGATTAAGGATTAATGTCTACTTGTATGTTCATATTTCCCTTTGAGTTTGGAACTTAACATCTAAGTTGTGTTTGAATTTCTTTTCAGGGTTTATTTATCGAGTTTCTGGGGATTTATAATTTCATGGATTTACTTGCACTAACCATCAGCTTGGTGGATGTCTCGCCAACTTCAGATGAAACTGTCTCTGTGATGGATACCAAATTCAATAACACTCCAGTTCGTATCTATGTGCCAAAGAGGAAGACAGCTGGGTTAAGAAGGGCTGTGTTTTATATCCATGGTGGAGGCTGGTGTATTGGAAGTAGTGGTAAGTGAATGTACTGAAAAATCTCTGCTACAGAGGTAGTTGCAAATTTTCACTGAGGCTTTATAGAATCTTATTCAAAATTCGTCTCTAGGGCTGGGGAGATGGCTCAGTGGAATAAGTGCTTCCCTGGCAAGCGCAAGGGCCTGAGTTCAATCCCCAGTTCCGCCAAAAAAAAAAAAAAAAATTGTCTCTGTGTTATTGTGCAAGAGTTACAGAGCTGCCTGAATGTACTCTTGAGAGCAGAACTCAAGGGCACAGAATTTGACTGCATAATGTCAATCACATACAGTAGATTTTTGTTAACATTTTCCTTTTCCTTGTTTCATTCTCACTAATATTCTGCCTTTATTCTTTTATTTAAGCTTCGTTCTTTTATGACAGCGTCTCACGACGGACAGCAGAGAAACTCGATGCTGTTGTCATATCAGCTGAGTAAGATCTGTGTTGTTTTGTCTACAGTATAGATACCATCTACCAGTATTCTCTCAGCTCTTTCATCAGACTAGACTGTGTCAGAAAGAAATGATTCTCAGTTATTTCAAATAAAAAGTGAAAGCTAGATTTACCTTGATTAGTAATGAGCAAAATATGTATATGTGTGCGGTGTGTGTGTGTGTGTGTGTGTGTGTGTGTGTGTGTGTAAGCACAATTGCATTCGTGCATGTGTGTATGATGTGGGCCCAAAGAAAAACTGATGCTAAAATATTTTAACATATAATTAAATTGCATTATCCATGAAAATGATCACTCAGACTGGATTACCTTTTAATTCTTAGGTTTTAAGAGTGAGTTTCCTGGAATTAGGGAATTAGCTATAAAATTATGTGGAAAAATAATTCCTACCTTTGACTTTTATAAAAAATTAAACAGGTAACATCCATGAAAAACAACTAATCCAGGGTTAGAAAATAACGGTTAGAATATTAAATTTCACTTTCAAATTAAACAAAGTAAGGAATTCATCTTAAACCAGTGAGTTTGATCAATAACCCTTGTCCAAAGGCAGCACTAGCAGGCATGTAACTGGAGGCGAGTAGGTAGACTCAGGTGACAGCACTCACTCAGGCATGTACAAGAATAGATCGAACATTACATTAAGTGGTTAAATTAAAAAACCTTGTTACAGTAAAAGACATATTTCCAAAAGCAATGAGACAAATGTATTTGAAGCAAGGGCAAATATTTCATTGTATTAATGACAATATGTCCTTCACTGTAATAGTATTTTTTTTACCTTTTATTTATTTATTTGGCACAGGGTCTTGCTACGCAGCTTGAACTTGTAGTGATCCTCCTGTCTCAGCCTCCCCAGATCTGGGATTACAGGCATGCACCACCTTGCCTGGTTTCAGTGGCCAGCATGGTGCCCAGAGCCTGCATGGCATGTGGTGCTAGGGATCGAACCAGGGTCCTTGCACTTGCCAGGTAGGCGCTTAGACTGCTGAGCTAATTCCCCAGTCCTGTAATAGCATTTTAAACTTAAATATTCACCATCATGTTAAATCACAACCTTGTAATTTTTTAAATTTAACCTACAGAAAAGGATGGATTGGTGAAGAAATAGCAATTTCTTGACCATATATCTAGTTACATCACTTTATTTATTTATTTATTTATTTATTTATTTATTTATATTTACTTATTTGTGTGTGTGTGTGGTACCGGGCATTGAACTCAGTAAGGACCCTGCGTTTGCCAGACAGGTGCTTATTCTACTGAGCTATCTCCCCAGCCCTACATCGTTACTACAGGGTTGAAACACAGACATGCTTGATATCACTTTGTAAATAATCTCCACTCAGTAGAGAGGATAATATTTTTAAAAAATATTTTAGGGACCGGGAAGGTAGTTCAGTAGAATAAGTGCCTGCCTGGCCAGTGCAAGGGTCTGAGTTCAACCCCCAGCACCACACACACACACACACACACACACACACACACACACAAATTAACTAGGTTATTCAAATTTTCATTGCATCTTATATTTCCATTTTGCTTTTAAATATGTTTATTAATAAAAACAACTCAAATGACACTGCAAGACATGCGTCTGTATTTGATTCATTTTAATAATGAAGAATTTACACTAATTTAAGTGGTGAAAATTTAAATTTCTATGCTATTCTATGTTTTGTCTTTTAACATATACTTATTTACTTTAATGGTAAAATGGCATCTTTTATTGAAGAATGGACACTCTTTCCCATTAATTAAAATGGCCAATATGGGTCAGGGAGATGGCTCAGTGGAATAAGTGCTTCCCTGGCAAGCGCAAGGGCCTGAGTTCAATCACCGGTTCCACCAAAAAGTAAATAAATACATAAATATAAAATAAAATGGCCAATAAGCAGAGGAAATATTGATAAATAACAACAGACAGTAGGAAAATGCAGGTTAAAACTCCTCGCATCCACTAGAGTAGCTACACAACACAGCTGAAACAAGTTTTAATGAGAATATGGGAAAATGAAACACTCAGTATCACTGGCTGGCAGGCACTTTGAAAAAAAGTTTGAAAATGTTAAAAGCGAAATTATAACATGACCTACCAGCTGCAATCCTAGGGTAATAAAAATATATCCAAATAAAACCTTTTGCATGCAGGGCCAGGGAGATAGCTCAGTGGCATTGGCACCTGCCCAGCAAGCAAAAAGTCCTGTGTTTGATCCCTGCTACTAAAAAACAACTACAGCAGCAGTAACAATAACAGCCACAAAAATCACATAAAACTCACAAAGTGGAAATAATGCTGTTCATATCTGGATAAATAAAACTTTGCATGTTTTTATAATTGATCAGAAATTGTCATTGAAAGGGAATCATACAAGATGCCTAAATCCTAAAAAAAGCTCAGTAAAAGCAGCAGGGCAGTCCCAAAGGGGCACAAATTATATGATTCTGTGTTATAAAATTTCTAATGCATGTAAATCTACAGAAGTAGAGATTAATAGATGCCAAAGGATGGATGGGCCTACTGAATGGTATAGGATTCATTTTGTTGGATATATTTTTTGGTTTTTGAGTGCTGACAGTATAAATTTGATTGGCATGATGTATGAAGAACTCCTAAAATCCACTTAATTTTTCACTTCAACTTAATAATATGACCTATAAAGCAAATTTCCAAACAATGGTTGCATTAAAGTTAATAAATTTCTTTTTTATGTATTTAGTACAGGGTCTACAGGGTCTCACTATACAGCTCAGACTTGTTGTGATCTTTCCTGTTTTTCAGTCTCCCAAATACTAGGATTACTGGTGCGTGCCACCACGCCCAGTCTCAATCGCCATCTCAGCATGCCCTGGGGATTGGGCCCACACAGCAGGCCAGAGATTGAAGCCTGGTCCCTGCGTCTGCCTAAGCAGGAACTTTACTCTGCTGAGCTATCTGGCCTGCCTCTAATAAATTTCAATTGTTAGTAATTAACACATGACTTAAAGTATCTTGTATTGTTGTATGTATAAATGATAAAATACAAATATATTAATTATTACTCAAATATACAAACATATGCTGTTGAAGAATCATAACAGAAAGGCTATTAAAACAATTTAGGAAAGAGATATCCAAATTATGAATAGACATATGAAACCATAGTATATATAAATTCACTGGGATACACCTCCATTTGTGGTATTAGGGAAGAAATTAAAAAGATGTATAACACCAAATATTGGTAAATGTGGAAATCAAAATGCTCTTGGAATTCATGCAGACAGGAGTATGCACTGTCAGCACGGAGCAGCTGTCTGACTCTCCATAGCAGCAGTGTTCATGTGGTCAAGACTGAAAGCAAACCAAGTCATCTGACCTGTCATAAATTTGCACAATTTTCATGTACTTGTTTATTTTGTAATTTTTGGTAAGAATATTTAATATTTCACATGAAATTTACTTTCTTTTTTTCTTATTTTTAATGTCTTCATTTTAGAAATTGACTTTCTTAACATATTTGTAAATGTACAAGCACCTTATATTTGCTATTAGGTGTAAAGTTTGTGGCAGATTTCTGGAGCTTATTGATGCTGCTTGATTGAGTGAATTCATTTGAGCACTCACTGCTTACCCTCTAGAAGCTCTGAAAAACAGCGCTTTTCTTTTTCACTCTGTATTAAGTGTCTCACCGAGGCGGACTCACATTTGTCTTCTTTTGGTAGTTCATGCAATTGGATAAGTCTGCTGTGGCATGTTCCCACACCTTCCAGGAAGAAAGACACACACAACAATGTGGATACAACTCAAAAATGTAGCGAGGAACACTCAAACCCAGGTGCACATGCATCTACTGTATTCTAGATCGTCACTTCAAGAGTAAAGCAGCAAAATTAGTGAGTGCTGCTGAGTCAGGTTAGCAAATACTTCTGGAGATAAGTAGAATGCTTGGAAACCTACTGGGCAGTAGTCATGTTCCGTCCTATGACCTGCATGCTGCTGGCTACATAGCTGTGTTCTTTCAAAACTTCCAGAAGCCCTGCATTTAGGAAATGTATCTTTGAGATCTGCGTCTTGTACTTTATCACATTTTAAATTAGTGACCTGAAACCAAGCTTTCTTCCCCACAGCTACAGATTGGGACCTGCCCATCGTTTTCCAACCCAGCTTGAAGATGTGTCTAGTGCTTTAAGATGGTTCTTTCGCAAAGATGTTCTTGAACAATACGCTGTGGACCCCGAGAGAATCGGTATTTCTGGAGATAGTTCTGGAGGTTGTCTAGCTGCAGCAGTGAGTCAGCAGGTAGGACCTTGGTCGTTATGTTTTTTTAAAACTTAGTATATTTAGGAGATGACATCGGAGCACATATGTAAATATAAAAGCTCCCTCTTTGGAGCTGCCAAACAGAATAGTGAGAAAGTATCTAACACCAAATGGCAGTGTCTGTTGCCCTCACAGACTTTTCATGTCTTAAGGAAATGACAGAGCCTTAAACAGGTAACTGGGTCAAACAGATTTGTGGTAAAATATGCTAGTCAGACCAATGAAATAAAATGAAAATAGAATATGACATTTTGTTTCTTTGGCAAATGCCTAGGTGTTCCATAAATTTCAGTGCAGTGGTTTTCTTTTTTAAATTTGTACCTGTTTGCAGTATATAATAACAACACATCATGGGAGCTGTACAAATACCTAAGATATCTTAAAGCATTTTCATCTTTTCACTCTCCCTTCTTCCAATCCCTCTTTCCTTCTCCATTTACAAAAGCCCTAGTTCCATTCTTTAATTTTTTTCTTTCCTTACATCCCTTCTCTTTTCCTTCTTTCCTCTTTACCCCTCTCTTGTGCCCCTGCCCATATGAAAAAGCTTTTCCTGCTTCCTAAGATCCCCCTCCATTTTGTGGGTTATCTCTTCTTTGGGATTCTTATAAAAAAATAACAATGCAATGTTTAAATTTGTATGTGTCACTTATTTCACTAGGTTGCTGATCTCCAAGTGCATTCATTTAACCTAAAAATGCTTCAAGTTTGTCCTTATTTATTGCAGAATTTACTCCATTGTATATAAGTACCACATTTTAAAAATGTATTCATCTATTGACTGGCAAATAAGCTGTTTCCAAGATTTAACTAGTATAAATTGTGCTGCTATAAATATGGATAGCACCAGAATAATTACACTGTTTTAGAAAACTATTAGCACATTCGAAGTATTATGTATTAAATATAATATGTACAATTTATTTGCATATATAAAGTTATATTTAATATATTTTCCCACATTATATGTAGAAAGGATTTTTACTTAAATCAAAATACTGTTATTTACCTTTAATAATCAAAATATCTCATCATATATCATAAACACATACTAATAGAAATATTTTTAAAGTATGAAACATTTTCTATGTGATAAAGTTAAAAATAAAGATATTTGCTCTGTTAAACTTATCCATAACTTCAGAATAAAATATTTTAGCTTCTTGTGTCTGAGATGGAATCTTTTCTAGATGACATTTTCAATAGATCATTTAGTCTCTCTAAGTATACATTTCCTTATTTGAGGAAAAATAAATATTTCAATTTCATAGTATTGTTCTAAGGGTCATATAAACAAATCTGACAGCATTAAATGCAATTTAAATAATTTCTTAAAATTGTTCTATATTTTATGATAGTGCAGATGTAGATTGACATAATAAATTGTGAAATACTCAGGTACACTCAATATGTGTACATATACAGAAATTATATGTGATTTGCCTATTGAAATACATATATATTTCTTTTCCTGTATTTTTAGGGAAGGGTCTATAGAGTGTTCAGGGTCTCACTATAGATCAAACTCATAGTGATTCTCCTGTTCACAGCCTCCCAAGAGCTAGAATTACAGACTTGTGCCACCACACTCAGTCTCAATTGCTGTCTCAGCATGCCCCGAGGGTGGACCTGGTGTGGCAGGTCTGGGCATCGAACCCCCGGCTCCTGTGCCTGCTTGCAGGTGCTTTAATCCTCTGAGCTATTTGGCCAGCCCTCTATTGATGTATATTTTAAAGATGATGTTCTTAGAGTTAAATATTTTTAAGAACTCTATTAATCTTTTTGATGCATGTTGTTATTTGCACATGTTTATTTCAGAGCACTGGTCTTAACAGAGATTAGTGTGTTAATTTTGATAAAGAGAGAGTGAAAAAACTGTTCTAATCCACCTTGACAATGTATCTGAAAGTGTACCTCGATTGAGTATAATTGTCTTAAGTGTTTTAGACGTTTTTGCCCTATTAGTCTGGTTGTTCATATATATATATATATATATATATATATAATTAATTTCATAAGGACTTATAAGATAAATAAGAATCTCATACTGACAAATTAAAAGGAAGGTGCAGGGAAGGGGAAGAGAAAAGAAACATTTTATGTACACTCACCAATTTGCTCAAGTGGGTGTCACCCTTATGTGCTCCAAACGTACAAATAAAAGCTTTAGATGTCCTGATATTGAGGAATGATTTGATTGAGCATCTCACAAACAATGCTTTCCCAACTCACCTAAAACAGTAGATTATTTTAGGAAAGAAGGCAGAAAACTTTAAGTGATCCATGTTTCTGAAAAAAAATTATAGTCTCATTTGATAAATTTCATACTATCAGAACATACCCCCATTGAATTTACACAGATGTTTATATGCCATTCTTGGTTGCAATCATATGACAGTAATTCACTAGGCTTAGACCTTTCTGCTTATCCCTAAAGAGCATAGTATGGATATTTTTCTCTAATTTAAAAGAATGCTTTAGTTAATAAATATAAAATTCTGGAAATTCCTATGAAATATTTCTAAGCTTATTGTGATGGATGATATGTTTCTATTGTTGTATTTTGAGATTTTAATTTATTTATAGAATAAAATTACAGTTATTTTATTATTCTCAAGGAAATATATTTGTACTAATATTTCCAATTTCTTCTTAGCTCCTAGGTAACCCAGAAATCAAGATCAAACTCAAGATCCAGGCTCTATTTTATCCTATACTTCAGTTTCTTGATTTGGAATTACCATCATATCAAGAATTTTCACACATGCCATTACTGTACAAGTCATTTGCAGTCAGATTCATAAGTGACTATTTTGCAAATGATAGGTCTTTTGAGAAAGTCATTCTGTCCAACCAGCATGTACCTGAAGAATACAGTCATCTCTTCAAGTTTGTTAACTGGAGCTCCTTGCTCCCTGAGAGGTTTAGAAAAGGATATGTTTACAAAAATCCAACTTATGGTAGCTCTGAAATGTCTCAAAAATATCCAGGTTTCCTAGATGTCAGAGCATCTCCTCTGTTGGCAGATGACAGCAAGCTGCGTGGTTTACCCCTCACCTATTTCCTCACGTGTCAGTATGACGTCTTAAGAGATGAAGGACTCATGTATGTCACCAGACTCCGGAATGCTGGAGTTCAAGTGACCCATATCCATGTGGAGGGTGGATTCCATGGAGTTTTTGTAATTCCTAAACTTAAAACAGCACAGAAAATTTTTGATCAGTACATTAGTTGGCTAAAAGAAAATTTATAATGAAACAAGCATGGTATATAATTTCAAAATTATACCAAAGCTCAAATCTTCAGAAAGTCCACGTGGTAGAAATGAGGTTATTATAGAAAGGTCCACGGAATGTGCGCATGTATGAATTTCAAGCTTTTTTTCTTTATTGCACTTCATGAACCTATCCAGTATTCACATTGCACATGTGCTATGTTTGACAACTTCTTTCCTGTATTTGAACACTTTTGTGTGTGTTCTGCCAAGTAGCAACAATTGCAAGAAGAGAAATGTAAGAAATAGTGCCTGCCTGAGTAACGTCAACATCTTTAAAGACACATTTATGGTTTTAAGTACTCATTAACAGCAATCTCACTTGCTTCCCACGTTTTTCCAAAACTGTCTTCCTCAGGGCAATGCCACTTACCTACACCTGTAAGTCTCTATTCATTGAAATGGCACTACAATCAGAGAAACTGGCATCACACTAGTAGATATGAATATCTCTGTGGCACTTTGTGTTTGGGGAAAAGATCAAGTGTGAAGTTCATTAAAGAAGTGAAGAGGATGATGAACAATGTCTTAATCATAGACTTCAGAAATAGAAGTAGATAAACCACCATTACAAATTTAGACAATTTTATTCTGTGTAAATCCCATTTAGACTCTGCAGAGAAGAGGGTAAGACATTTGCATGATGCTTTCAGATCAGGCAGAATATTTATATTGTCCATGATCTCATGCATCAAAATCCTGAGGAAACACATGAGCGGGGAACATCACATGGTGGAGCAGCTCTGCTCACATGGCCACCAGTGACCAAGCCAAGTGTTCTCTCTGTATTTCACTATGGTTAGTATCTGTGATTGTTTATACGCATAATTACTCTCTTTGTAGCACCACCTGAAAATGTTTAAGATAGAGATCTGATAGTGAAAAAGAGCTACCTGTAAAGCCACTCTGCTTTGTGAAAATTATTACTAATCCCAGATGCTCCAAATGAGAAATACATTAGACTGCCACACCTAGGATCATATTGTAAGTCATTTTCAAAATAAAAATTTTCTAGCTGGAATAATGGTGATCTTATGCTAAGAAATATGACAATAATAGGCATATAGCAGAGTAAAATGCTCATATCTATCAACTTGTCAAATATTCTGATACACATTTCTGTCATAAATAAAGCATTTGATATTTATTACTGAATGTAATGGGGGGCATAAATGTTGTATATATGCAGCTAATTGATTTTTTTCTGTACTATGAAAAAACCTAAAATTGGTATTATTGCTTTTAAATAAATTCTGAAAATAATTCATGGCCAGTGTTTGATATGGCTTCCTGTTATCTCTCCTCAAAGGTAAGGAAATCTAGCACTTAGATGGATACTGTAAAGCGAACATCTTGATCAGAAATGTAGGCAATCGACTTTCATCCATAATGTTATCACATTAAATAAATATTTTTCAAAATTATTCCACCTAGTAGAAGGTACTAGGATTCACTTCTATTTCGAAAGCTGAAGCAAGACAACTGTGAATTCAAGCTCAAATTGTGCAACTCTGTAAGATGCTGCCTCAAAATCAGAAATAAAAGCCACATCGTGGAGAAGTAGGATAAATGTCCTGAAACACACACACACACACACACACACACACACACACACAGCCATTTTATTGAACTTTATGTATATAACATTTCAAAAATTTGAACTGTTAATAAGTGTGCTGATATTTTTAAGTTAGCATAATATTTTATGAATTTGATTGCAGTTCTGAAATTTCCAAATAGGCCAAATGTTTTTTGGGAGAAATCCTGTGCATTCCAATCATGAAACAATTCCACTTCAGAATATTTTCTCAAAACATATTGAAACACAGTGGTACAAAAACTGTGACAAGGGCCCGGGGAAGTAGCTCAGTAGAATAAGTGCTTGCCTGGCAAGCACAAGGTTCTGAGTTAAATCCTCAGTACAAAAAAAACAAAAAAACCCATGACAAATTCTTTTCAGGCTTATGGGGCAACAATTTGATGGAGGGTTTTTGTTTGTTTTCTTTCTCTTTAATTTAAAATCACTGAAAAGCATTCAAGAACAGTTCCTTCTCTATTTTTGCTCATACCACAGCACGTGGTGGGAAGGCAGGCTCTGCCTTGATCTGCTTTTGCAGGTTTTCACTTTGCATTGTGTTGCGGAGATACAGCAAATTCAAGCCAGCAAGCAAAATCCAGACTGTAAACTGGTTTGTATTCTAAGCAAAAAATTGTTTAGAGATTATAAAGAACTGTCAGAAAGGAAGAAGATGTTGGTGAGGACTTGTAGGAGAGAGATCAGGAAGAGGAGAAGAGGCGTCCTATTTAGCATGCTCAGTCATGACACAGCCCACAGTCCTGCAAGCTAGTGCCAGGCCTGTTTGTTTTGGAGTCACCTGTTCACCTCAGCTGCTCTGCTAATGTCTCTAAAAATAATATCTTTGAGTTGGCTGCCAGCCTCTTGCTATTTCATAATCCCAGTAATTATTTAAATAGAGCATTAACGTATCTCAACTCCCAGTTATTGGTCAGGCTGTCTTTTAATCACCTTGTTCACATCTTGAACAAAATGCTCTTGTCTTGCTATGCATTGTGCTGAGATCAATAAAAGTGCCACCTACATAATTCCAAAACCAAGCACCCGAGTTATTTCAGACTGGCTCCTTGGTTTCAGTCCTCTAAAAATCCTTATAATTCATAAACTACACCACCTTTGCTTCTTTCTCACTGCTGTACTATAGTGTCTTTGACTCCTCACCAATCTTTGTTCTGTGATCACCGAAAGCAGAACATCATGAGATCTCTTGTCATGCTACCCAACGACTTATTTATAACAAACCTCCACTGAAGAAGAACTCCATGTCTCCGCATAGTGTATAAATGTACTTTTGCAGTGAAGAAAACCAAAGATACACTGAAATGTCCTTCTTTGAAATAATGGTGCAAGCCTCAATTGTGGCATTTACAGTGTCTAGCAATCTCATGGTTCTCCTGGTGTATTCTTTGCCAGTTATACTAATAGTAATTATATGTGGAATAGGGGATTGTTCAAGGGATGATCAAGTGATGAGAGTTATATTGAAGAAATGTGCTGGGGTCCATATTGGAATGCGCCATGAAGAGTGGGAGCACAAACGGGGATCAGGCCCTGGCCGCCTCTGCCCTGTGTCCCCACAACCTCCATCTCTGTGCCTTCCATCCTGATCACGATGAGGAGCAGTTTTTCCATTGAGCCCCCTCAGTAATGCATCTGCTTTAATGCCAGACATTGAGCACTGAAACCTCCCAAACCAGGAGTCACATAGAAGTGCTCCTCATTTGAAGTACGCATATTACCTTCATTGGCATGTGCAATGCTGCTAGTGTTTCTTTACAAGAGGATGATTAAATAAAACATGATTATATATCAAAGTCAGTACATCACACAGAAAATAAAATATAAATCTCTACAACTTTGTTAAGTATCTCACTTATTTAGGCAGATACATTCTATGGTGGCTTGATTTAAGGCAGATACATTCTATGGTAAAATTAATTTTGCTATTGATATTTTGAGAATATGAGTAAATAAAATATGTGATACTATCTGTAATCAAAGTTTTAAGATATTAGAATAATAAATACACAGAAAATTGGTAGTGAAATAAATGCTAATCCAGAATCTCTTGCTCTGAATAATATAGACAGAAAACAAAGTCTGATTGCACATTTCAGGTCAGCAAATTAAACTCCCTGACAGTAGCGTCATCAGAGCAAGAAAGTGTCCATTCATCAATCCTTGTTATGAAAATTCAAGAGTATAACCATGTAACATAACCAATCTTCACTGTGACTATTACTGCTAACAGTTTGTCTAATGAAATGAGACAGTATAGGAAAGTCCTTTGGGCTTTGAGAAAGAACTAGAAGTCCCATGGTGTCAGATCTGATGAATAAGATCAATAAAGGATTCAATGAGACATTTTTTCAAAACTGCTTTTCCAGTGGATAGCAGTAGCCAGCATGATTTTTTACCACATGAGCTATGCATTTTTTTAAAAAGTATTCTAAGAAATTGATAAGTCTTGATATATATTTTGAATAGGAATTTTGACTAAACTACATGGTGAAGTTTTAAATGTAAAACCGTTCTACATTAAAAAGCCATTGGTATTAATCCCTCTCAAAACACTTCCCTCTGTTCAACCAGCTATGCCAGAACTACCTTCTGAAGCAACTCTGGGAGTGAAAATAAATTATTTTTCTTTTTGCATTACAATGTTTACCAAACTTGCAACAGCATTAGATACAGTTTCAGTAACACAGATGAAAATAATATTCATACATGAAACCACATATAATTATGCAAGTAAACAAATCAGAGTCAATTTTTAGCATCAAAGTATTAATACAAGATCATATTTTAAATATCTGTTCTTTGTAGTTGTGATCCCTAAACTGGTGTAACAGCAGTGAGTATTCACAAGGCCTAGATTCTTCCTCAACTTTCCTACGCTAGAAAACCAGTATTCCTTGAACAAATTGTTGACTCTGGGTATCAGTGAAGAAAGATATTAAGAATTTAGAAATAAAATGGTAGAAAATCCACTATTGGGTAATGAGATTTTCTGGCTATAGCGCTTAAATTATATGACCATGACCAAACATACTATTAAAATTTTTTCATTCCTTCATGGAAGAACTATATTATAGAAATATAATTAATTTCATAATTGAATTAATTTAAGTTCTATCTAAAATCACTCATCATAGAGTGTGGTGTATGGGAAAATATTATTAATAAATATTCCCTACCACTGTTTCCCTTACAAGAATTGCATTTTTGAGGTCCTTTTTAAAGAATTACATAACTAACTGTCAACATTTCTGTCTCTCACATGATGATTTGTATTTTGTAGGGGTCAATTTAATGTTCACTTACATTTTATTCCTCAACATTGTAAAATATGTTCTTTTTTATTTCATGATGTGTTGTCTTACAACAAAGATTGTGCAATGTAAGCTTCGAATAGATAATTGTGCTATAGTTGATGAATATTTTCTTGACTGTTGTGCCATGTATGGTTGCTTAAGGAACAATGTTGATGAGTGTAAACATTGACAGAATTGCCCGACTTCCAATTCTACGTTGAATATTGAGCTCATAATTCCCTGGAGAATTGCTAGATGTTCAGGGAAATTTTAGTATTATTTTGGCAATTCTAGAAGAAAGTGATAAAAAAAAAAAATCTATCTTAGAAAAAAGAAACAAAGCTCCTGGATGGGGCTGTGGCACACTGGCAATTTAAGTGGAAGCTTGGGCAATTACAAAAGACTGATTTCTGAGTTTCTCAGACAGCGAAGCTTAAAAATCACAGCATGGAAAATGCATCTGTGTACCTCCTAATTTGGGGATCCTTGTAGCATATTATATGTGTATTCCTCTCACAGATAATGTGGAGGAACCAGGGAAAGTGATGCTTACCAAGGCACTACTGAAAACTTCTCTTCATCTGATAAGTCTGAAATTTTATGATCTACAATGTCCATGTACAATCATGTATATAAAGAATTTTTCCAGGCTCTGGTTTTTGGTTTTTCTATCCTCCTTTAAAAATAATGATACAGGGCCAGCGGGCTAGCTCAGTGGACTGAGCACCTGCTTAGGCGAGCACAGGGACTGGGGATCAATCCCCAGTATCACATGTCTCACCAGCCTTGCCCCCAGGCATACTGAGCTGGTCAATGAGACCTGGTGTCATGGCGCGTACCTATTACCTATAATCCCAGTGCTGAGAAGGCTGAAACAGGAAGATTTCTATGAGTCTGAGCTGCACAGCGAGGCCCTGTACCAAATATGTAAGAAAAAATAAATGATAATAATGCTGCAACTTTTGCCTATGTACTACTTCGAAATATGACTTTTTTTTGCTATTCACTATTTTATTTACTAAAATCATGTTTGCAAATCCCCAACACAATAACCTAGCAGTCTTTCAAGTAGTTCATTTTGAAAAGTTGTTTTGTTTAGGTAGCCTTAATTTCCCCACTGGGGTCTTCCGTTGATATTCTTTATTTAGTATGTTTGCAGACTAGTACATTTTAAAAGAAATAACCCCAAGATTGTCTGATTATGTACCAATGCATTAGATATATCCCCTTTTATACTTTTCTTTTGAATTCAGTATACAGAGAAAGGAGTACAATGAATTTCTCAAGGACAACCTGTATAAGCAGGATGGCTGGCATGATTCCTGAGTAT